ATGATTTATAGAAAGTATGTTTGTTGCAAAGAGGGACAAAGAGATGTGGATAAAATGGATTGAAAAGTAATAAAGTCGCGAGTTGAGACACAAACCAAATGTCCAGCTCACATGTGCATATTCCTCAATCGGGAAATTGAAAAATTTATCGTGGTTAAATGAAAGGATGATCACAATCATTCTTTGCACCTTAAGGAATGTGTGCATATGATGTCATTCCAAAGGAATGTTTCTACTGTGCAAGACATTCATGTTGGCATGACAGCGAATTGTGGGATATTACTTAAAAATTCATATGAACCTAGGCAAGTGGAAGGAAAAATTTGGGGTTCACTCGGCAAGACAAAAAAAATTACATCTATGATAAGAGGCAATGAGAGTTGAGATATGGTGAAGCAGGTAGTTTGTTGAATTATTTTCGGTTAGAAGCGGTTAAAAATCTATCATTTTACTATGGTATCCAGTTGGATGTTCAGGAGTATATTACAAATTTTTTTGGGTTGACCCAAATATGATTATTGACTATGGTCACTTTGGATATGTTTTCTCATTTGACACAACATTCCGTACGAGCAAGGATTATTGGCCTTTTGTATGCTTTATTGGCTTTAATTATTTTAGAAAGACTGTGATTTTTGATGCTGCATTATTTTATGATAAAACGACAATGTCGTTTCAATGTTTATTTGAGACATTTTTGCTAGCAATGTCTGGGAAGAAGCCTATCACCATCTTTACTGACCAAGATTAAGCAATGGTTAAGACAATAACCCAAGTGATACTGGAGACTTATCATGGGCTATGTACTTGACACCTTTCTCAAAATACTTTAAAGCATCTAGGAAATATATGCAAAGATGGTTCTAACTTTGTCACCAAATTATAAAAATTCATTTACGAATATACGAAATAACATGAATTGTTTGAGATTTGAAATATTTTGCTTGATGAGTATAATTTGCAAGATAATACCTCGATAAAGACAACTTGGATTTTGAGGGAGAAATGAGCTAAGGTGTATATGAAGAGATCTTTCGCAGCAAGTATGAGAAGCACCCAGTTTAGTGAGAGTTTGAATGCAAAATTACGAAAGTATTTAAAGCCAGATCATGATATTGTTCAATTCTTTATTCACTTTGATAGAATTGTAAATGATAAGAGATATGTGGAGTCATAGAAAGAATATCATGCTAGGCAAAAGTTGCTAAGAATGAAGTTCAAAAAAGATCCCATGTTGGTGCAAGTTGGACAATGTTACACTTCTCTTGTGTTTGATTTATTTCATGACAAGTATGATACATTCCAGTGTGATGTTGTGAAGCCAGACAATACTATGGAGTAACAACATCAATTTGTTATCCCACCAACACATAAGTAGCATTACATAAATAAAACAAACCATTACATAATTAAGAAAAGATCCTTCCCAAAATGAAAGTAAACTGTTACATCATTTTATCATTACAACCACAAACAACTTCACTAAATTAAAGCTAGACAATAACATGAATATGGATCGTAACAACTCAAGCCGTTGCACGCGATTGTAAAGCCCATCACTTCATAACTCGGTTGTAACCTATTCAACTCTTTTTATTTCATTAGGATCACTTGGAATTTCAGGCACAGTTGTAGCAGATGATCCGATCATGCAAAAAATATGCATCCCACCCTCCTGGCACAACTGTAGCATAGCTTTCTTGTATTATCTTTAGTAGAGCTCCCATACTCAAAGATGCAATTTTGTAACCTACATTAAGCATAACTAATTTGCACCAACCATACGCAAAATTATATTACATAACCATAAACATAACACAAAATTTAAATCCAAACATGCACAAACCCATGTTCAATCTCATGCTCAGTGAGTAATCATAACATCACTTTTCAATTGCAAACCCAGTAATAGCAACACCACCTTTCATCATTCGAAATTCAAAATTCAAAATTCAAAAATGCTGATGTAGCACAAACCCAATAATCAAAACACCACAAAAAGAAAAACCAAAATTGTTGCAATAACAAAATATTGATAATTATAAATTGATAATCATATTTGAAAATTTGAATCACAAATTCATAACTATAATCATAATTGAGAATCTGAAAAATAGCTCATTACCTATAGCCACAAACCCATTTTTGTGAATTTAAGGACCCTTCACCCATTTTTCTTGTTTAAAAATCAAAAAATGGAGCATCAAACACAGACCCATGTCTTGTTTCTTATGCTAAAAACTACCCAAATTTCCCAATCAAACAAACAAGAATCCAAAAGAAAATAATCATGTCAAATAGAGCAGAGAAAAACTTACATATAAGCAATCAAAAGTTTGAATTTTTTTGCCCCAACTTGTCCCTTTAGGGGAAAAAAAAAAAATCTTGGGTGATGGCGATTCCCCAACTCATCCACTGTGTGTTTTCGATACCAGTTGAATGATGATGGCGATGAATATTAATGGCGATGGACTTCTACTCAGATGAAAAGGCTGAAGTTCTGTTCAAATTTTGGGCAGGGGCTGAAGGTTCTGTTCAAGGCCAAAGACAAATTGGAACGGTGCCGTTTAACAAGCAAAAAAAAAAAAAGAGTTGCAAAATAACTTCATTTTGGGCGAACAACGGGGGTTGTTGTTCTTAGGGAAAAACAGAGGAGTCAGATCCATCTTTTCCTGTGCACAACAAAATTAGGGATTGGTTGTCGCTTTCGATTGTAGCGCGATGAAGTTCCCAAGTCATTGCCATGAGATAAGTTTTGCGGGTTGCCGCTGCCTCAGAATAAATGCTCGACACTACTAGAACAGAGAGAGACACTCCATCCAAAAGACACCCATTTATGTCTCTACACACCTCTCCCGCAGCAGCTCTGAAAATGAGAATGCGCCATCACAATTGAATTTAACAGAGTTTTATGTTGGGGGGAGCCACCAGGGGGCAGGTGCAGTTTCTTGCGGATCAGATCTAGAGAGGCAGCTGGACATAGAGGAGCTAGCTTCACCTGACGAAAGCAGCTTTTCCCATAACTTCCACAACTTGCCTATAGTCCGATGTTGCTTCCAATAGATTTGCAGTCCACTGTTTGATAGAATTGACTCCCTGCTGGCTCAATCTAATCCCCAAATCACACCCAAACCACATTCTATGGGTCCATTCACAAGAGAATATCAGGTGTTCAATTTGATTTCACCTCTGATTTGCAAACTTGCATCTAGGGGAAGGCAAGCATTTGTGTCTAAACAAGTTTTCTTGTGTTGCAAGAGCTTTGGAGCATGCATTCCACCAAAATTGCTTAACTTTCGGGGTCGCCATAATCTGCCAAATAATCTTCCAAAGTTTTTGGAAGTAGAGAATCTGAGGAGCTCCCTTGATTTCTTGACTTTTATTATCTCTCTTGTTGAGCTACAACATATCCTAACTTAACCAAATACATACCCTTCGAATTGGGGTGCCAAATCAATTGGTCAAACCCCTCAAATTTAGCTATAGGGATTTTGATAATTGTGTTCCATTCCTTAGTCCTAATCAGAGGTCTTAAGATATTCATGTTCCATACCTGATTCTCCATAGAGATGACATCTTCCACCAAGAAAATCTAGTATTCAATAGGTTTAATAGATGCAATTCTGAAATTTGGAAGAATGGGTACCCATTTATCCTTCCCAAATTTGATCTTGTTCCCGCTACAGACTTGCCAACGTAAACCTTTCTCAAGTAATTCCCTGCCCCGTAGAAGGTTGCTCCACATCCATGACATTCTAGTACCTGGATTGGCTTGCAAAAAAGTTGTATTAGGGAGGTAAATAGATTTCATGATATGTTCCCAAAAGGAATTAGGATTTTGAATGAGTCGCCAACCTTGCTTTGCCAAGAAGGCTTGGTTGAAGCATTGAAAATCTCTAAACCCCATACCTCTTTACGCCTTTGGGAGAGTCAAATCATCTCATTTTCTTCGATGAATTCCATTAACCTCCCAATTCCTTCCACACCAAAACCTCCTCACTAGCAAATTCATTTTCTCACACAAATTTTGAGGGAAAGCTAAACATGTCATAGCATAACTAGTCATCGCTTACACCACTGCCTTGATCAAGACCTCTTTACCATCTTGGGAGAGGTATGCTTCTTTCTATCCTCGAATCTGCTTCATAACCCTTTCAACTAGGTAATTGAAGGTCTTCGCTTTAGAACGACCCTAAAAGGATGGGATACCCAAATATTTAGCATTACTTGGTAAATCTTCAATCTCCAACCTTTCACTCAAATGATCTTTTTCCTCTGGGGGATTTTTTTTTTGAAAATAGCACTCCTGATTTTTGGAAGTTTATAAACTGTCCCGATACTTCGCAATATCTGGATAAAGTGCTCCTTAAGTGGCCCTCTCCCTCTCATTTGCTTCAATAAAAAGGAGAGAGGAATCGGCGAAAAATAGGTGGGATAATGTAGGACTATTTCTTTTGATTTGTATACCTGAGATCCTCCCCTCGTTGAGATCTTTATAGATAAGCCTAGAGAGAGCGTTTGCTCATCAAGAAAAATATAGGGAGAAATTGGGTCACTTGTCTAAGCCCCTTTTGTGGTATAAATTCGCAAATGGCAGTCCCATTGATCAACACTTCAAAATTCATTGTAGTAACACATTGCATGATGAGATTAATCCAAGTAGCATGAAACCCCAACCTCCTCAAAATTGCTTCCAAGAAATCTCATTCAACTTTATCATAGGCCTTATTGAGGTTCAACTTAATCGCCATTAGCTTTTCTCTACCCGATTTGATTTTTAGGGCATTTTCATGTTTCATTTGAATGAGTATACTGTCCTGAATTTGGCGCTGGGGAACAAAGGCCGCCTGGTTGGGTGTGACCTGTTGGCGAAGAATACCTTTCAATCTATTTGCCAAAACTTTCGATATAATCTTGTAAATAAAATTGCATGGAGCTATGGGTCGGAATTGGAAAAGTGACTCTGGTGCAGGAACTTTGGGGATGAGACTAGGCTAGTTCTATTCACCTCCGTGGACATCACTTATTCTGCAAAGAATTTCTGGACCACTTTGCAAACCTCCCCTCCCAGTATATGCCAATGCTTTTGATAAAAAATACCATGGGGCTTTGAAATCGCCCAATTGCTTAGTAGTTCTCACAATTTCGCTATCAATTACAAGGCTTAGTAGCCTGGAGTTCATTTCACTAGAAACAAGAAGGGGAATCATCTCAAGAATTTCATTAAAATCTTGCGTCCCTGCTATGGCAAATAGTGTGTGAAAATAATCCAAAATATGGGAACTCAGAGCATCTACTTCTATCCAATCGCTTTCTATGGTTTTTTAGTTACATGAAAAAAGTTGGTATTTTGATCTCCGTACCTTAACCACCTAATCCGTGATCACTGCATCCAGTACATCTCCTCCCTTCTCCGCAAGGAATTAATATAATTTTGCAACTCCTTTTCCAAATCCATAATGTGTTGCAGGAGCACTTCTTTGTACCGCTACTAATCTGAAACTAAGCTCCTCTAATTTCTTCATGCTGTTACCAAAAGCTTCTTTACTTCAATTCCCTAGATTTATGTTACACTTCTTCAACTTACGCTGGAGCGATACCAAACTTGGGTTATGGTCCAAAGGGGTCCAGCTATTTTTAATAATCTCTGCATAGGCTGTCGAGTCCATCCACATAGCCTCAAATTTGAAGTGATATGGGACTTTGGATGCCTTGAAACCAAAATTAATAACTATTGGGCAATGGTCCAAACCTAACCTGGTTTCGTGAAACAGTTGAGCATGAGGAAAGGTAGTTCTCCATTCTGGGTTAATTAGTGCCCTATCAATTCTTTCTTTAACATTTGCATCTCCTTCTCTATTGTTGGACCAGGTAAAGGAAGAGCCTTTTGGATCCATTTCCATAATGCCACAATCCAAAACTAGCTTATGGAATTCCTCAATCTTATGGCTATTAGCTGCTTTGCCACCCATTTTATCCCTCACAGAGCCTATAATGTTCAAGTTGCCTACTATTAACCAAGGTGCGGATTGGCCATGAGCAAGGGATCACATGAACCTCCACACTCTCTATTTTTTTCCACAATCAGGGTCGGCGTAAATGAAAGTTGACTGCCACATTGCAGGAGGATATCTAACTTTACACCATATGTTGATAATTGATGGGACGTTTCCAGAAGGACCTTAGATTGGTGACACGTATCCTCGGCGCAAGTTTCTCATCTCTGTCAAATCCACTTGTCCTCGGCCCCGGAGGCCTCCATTTAAACTTGGTACCGATACATGTCCCTCAGCTGCAGGACAAGCCCCTCGGTCCCAAGGGTACTTTCTATGATCTCGCCCACTCGATTTAATGCATGTCCCTCGGCTCATGAATCCTCGACTCCTGAGGAGGCTAAGGACTGACGAATGGACAACCTAAACTAGACTAGGGACTGTGAGAACATGCTACATAAAGCAATCAGGGTGACAGGTTGAGTTGGACATTCAACCAAAGAGAGTCAGACACGTGGCAACGAGTATGGTATAAGGAGTAAAAAGACAGGCTTGTCCCCTGTTGATATGCGGCCAATAAAGACACGCATTTAATGCGCCATCAGTTGACAAGACATTTACCGTGGCTTGATAAGCCAAGAAGTTACAGCATTGAATGCTTGGGGATTCGGGCATTTAATGCTGCCATGTACAAGAAGGAACATTAAGTACTCAGCAGGTCGAGCAATCAATACTGGGACATTTCCCACCAAAAGTAAGGGGCACACTGCCCCACCTCTGAAGGCTATCTGTAGCCTAGATTGTTAGCAATGATGAGCCTTTAAAGGTATAAATAGTCCTCAAAATACATTACAAAGGTACGCAATATTGCCTTACAAGAGCCATATAGTGTTTTCTTCTTCCCCTCTCAAAGAACTGACTTGACCGTCGGAGAAGATATGCTGGAGAACACTCTGGTGCCCTTCTAACCTGTTCTCTGTGTTTCAAGAATTTCTCGTGAACCTTTGAAATCGGTTTGACATCACTAGAAGTAATTCATCACCAGTTCTTAGGTCCCCTTTGGCCCTCTCAACCTATTCTTTATTGTCGGATCCACCGTTTCGACGGGTCAAATCTCAATGTAGGAGAGATCTGTTATCATTTCAACTATTGTGCAAAAATTTGCATGCACAATCTGGCGCCGTATGTAGGAAACGACTAGAGTTTTCAAAAGAATAGTGACCATGGTGAATACTCGACAAAAGGGAAAGGGTTCTCAACAAAGGAATACCAAATTATCGGTCCCATCCTAGTCAAAGACGAGGAACTATGTGGAAAGTACCAACAAGGGGCTCATCGTTTATAAAATGGAGAAAACCCATCAAACCAGCATGGTATTGGGTCAGGAGGGTCCACCCCATTGGCCCGTCAACTGGGGGAGATGATCGAGGAAAAATTTGGTGCTAGGCTATGCTAGGTAGAAAAGGACAATGTTAACGTCCTCCACCGCCTTGATGAGTTTGCTGCCTCCGACCAAGGAACGAGAGATTCGGTCAGGCCCCAGGAACCTTCTACCAGGGAAGTAGAACCCGAGGACCTGAGACATCGTTTGAGTAACAGGGCGGGAAGCTCCAGGGCTCCGAAATGCCGAGGGCCAGGGGACAACTCCCAGAGGTTCCAGCCAAGTGGACTAAGCCGCTGGCCTGGGATGACCTCCGTCAGAGCCTGTTCGGGCGAGGGGGCATGGAGGAGTTCGAGGAAGGATCAAGTCTCTCTGTCCGCCACGAGACGAGGGACCGCCCTACCTGTCACCAAGCACGTAAAGATGTACTCCCTGAACAAGGGGACCTCAGAGCTCGGCTGGAGTCCAGAAGGAAGAACAAACCTTACAGGAGGACGATATTGATGATGAAGTCATCTCATCCCCTTTTACACGGAACATAATGGAGATGAAAGTGCCAAATAAGTTCACAGTGCCAAGGTTCAAGGTCTACGATGGGCGGTCTGACCCCGAAGCCCATCCCATACAATACAAGCAAATGATGTCTTTGTACCATTCGGATCATCGGCTGCTATGTCGGGTGTTTTCGATGAGCCTGCTGCCATGATATGGTTTGAAACCCTTCCACCTAATAGTGTAAGGTCTTGGAGGGAGCTGACCAGACAGTTTTCCCTAATTTATCATGGGAAGTAGGTGACCCAAAGATATTGGGTCATTACTGGCCCTGAGATGGAAAGAGGGAAAGACTCTTCGCCAATATGAAGCTCGTTACTGGAAGGAGATGAACGAGGTGGAAGGGTATTTCGAGGTCATGACAGTAGCCTCTTTCAGGCTCGATCTCTCTCGGGACACCGAACTCTATCGACCCTTGACCAAGAAGACACCGAGTGATATGAGAGAATTGATGGTCCGGACAAACAAGTATTCTCGAATCAAGGACGAGATGGTGGGGGTAGAGGAAGGGCTTTAGCCTCAAAGAGAAAGGAGAAAGAGGATGCCTCTCCCCAGAAAGGACTGATACCGTCTACGAAGAGTTCTTTCAAGGGAGTTCACACTGTGTTCAAAGAACCCATCTACAAATTGCTTCATAAAATCAAGAGGGAAGTCTTCTTCAAGTGGCCACCCAAGATGCTGGGTGATCCCTCCACCCGAAACCAAAAGGTGAAATATTCTTACCACTAGGATTTTGGACATCGAACCGAAGACTGCAGGGCCTACAAGTCTTTCCTGGAAAAGTTGGTACAGGACGGACATCTGAAAGAGTTCATTGAAACGACAGAGGAGGTCCGCGGCGCCGATAACCAGACCGTCGTCCAGGGCAATGTGATTGATGTCTGCCCACTAGAATGCCCAACGTCCAAGACTCTCAGATCTGATCTGAATAAAATAGCTTTCACAAGGAGGGTATACGAAAGGGGGTGATGACCGACCGGATAAAAGGCACCGTGTTTGCAAGGAGGACATCACTTTCTCCAATGCTAACTTAGCAGGCGTGGTCCTCCCCCATGAAGACTTCTAATCCTGACCTTGAAGATCGGGAGCTTTGACGTTAAAAGAGTCTTGGTGGACTCCAGAAGTTCCTCTGAGGTCATGTACTTCGAAGTCTTGAAGCATATGGGGCTCGGCACACAGGACCTCGTCAAAGTCAGTACACCCCTCGTGGGATTCAATGGTTCATATGCCCTACCTTTGGGAAAAATAACGCTGCCAGTTACTACCGGGCCTATCACGACTAACACGGAGTTTGTAGTAATCGACTTTGATTCGCCCTACAATATTATTATGGGATGGGCCTGATTGCATACTTTGGGGGCTGTGCATTCAACTTATCACCAGAAATTGAAGTTCCCCACCTCGAAGGGAGTTATGGAGATCCGTGGGGACCTAACGTCCACCAAAAATTATTTTTATTCTGCAGTAAGAGCAGGGGTTGCCTCCAAGGAGAAAGAGCGTGCCCCGAAGGAAATTCTAAACAAATAGCAATTATAGTCCGGCGTTTAGGAGTAGACGATCCCCAGACGGACCCGACAGATCGCTCGGTGGAGGATCTCTAGAAGATACTTCTGATGGAAGTAGATGAAGAAAGATATTTCTTGATCGGCTCTACCATATCCCCGACCGAACAAGAAGAGATGATCGGCTTCTCATGGGACGCCACAGAAATGAAAGGGATAAGTCCAGACGTTATTACCCACAAACTACATGTTGACCCAGCTCACAAATCGATAAAGCAGAAGCCCTGGCGTACAACACCTCATCATGCTCAGACGGTGAAATAGGAGGTTGACAAACTCCTGGAGGCAAGAACTATTTGAGACGTACAGTTTCCAGAGTGGATGTCCAATACGGTCTGCACGAAGAAGAAGGGAGAAAAGTGGCTCGTTTGCGTGAACTTTACTGATTTAAACAAGGCTTGTCCTAAGGATGACTTTACCCTCCCAAAGGTGGACCAGCTGGTGGATGCCACGACAAGACACCGGCGCATGAACTTCTTGGACATTAGAGCTGGCTACCATCAAATCCCTCTTCATCTGCCCGACTAAGAGAAGACAACCTTCATCACTCCAAGAGGAGTCTATTGTTACAAAGTCATGCCTTTTGGCTTAAAGAACACGGGGGCCATTTACCAGAGGCTCATGAATCGGATGTTTAAACGAAAGTTGGGGACCACCATGGAAGTCTATATTGATGACATGTTGGTAAAAAGTAAGAAA